GCACTGACAAGACCAAAATCCTGCTTAGCTTCTGAGATATGACGAGATTGGGTTATTTAAGGATGAAATTATCAGGAGGAGAGAAGTCAATAGAATGGATTCAAATGTGCAGAGTTTTTTTTTCAAACGCATCTCTCTCTTCGTCAAGATAAACGTGCATATGTATGTCATTCGTTATTTTTTATTTGGTATGCATTTAGAAGGAGCTTAATGACCTTCAAGCGTTACTATTTTGAAATATACATAGCAATCATCCCCTCCTACTGCGAAAAAACTCGGCAGGACCCTCCAATAAAGGGCCGTCAGACTAAGTTAAACTTTCCTGTTTAATCACAGTAAATAGAATGACTAAGTAATATTTGACGAATTGCACCCGATAAGAGAGCTATATAACCAAGAGGTTATTGTGGAAACGATGTACATACCAAAGTACACTAATGCCAGTGATAGTGAAGGAGAAACAATGATGTTGTGTACCTTCTATTTTGTTCAGTTTGAGACTAAATATCCATTCACAGCAGTGTAAGTCGTCGTATTCGAGAACCGCTCGTGGAAGTGGATATTCCAGAACGAATTCTGAGATGTCAAGTATCGTCCATAATACAGGTTTTTTTAGGGTTAGATCGCGGAAATACTGTATATAAATGTGTCGTTAAACCCGCAATCACCTGACACAGCCAATTTGTAAGGTTTATCACGTAAACAGAACATGCCATTTCGTTACTAGTACAGCACACCGGTGTGTTGGAGAGTAAAGCCACAACATTTACAATCTGAGTAAGACGTTTCGCCAGTAATTACAACTAGCATCATCAGGCGACAGCGAAATTTGTGGAAAAATCCTCCTGTTTCGTTCCTTAAATAGAGGGCTAGATGTGATGACATCACTTTGTGGACTCTTCTTGCGCGAAGTGGGTGGAGGGGGGATTAATGAATGCATATAAATTACTATGGGTAGCCATTGCCGTTTGAATCATTTATCTGGTAATCAACGTACATTATGCATGTGCAGTGTGCAAGCATATTGTTCTTGTACTTCCTGTCGATTGTGTGCACTAAAATAGTCGTACCAACGGTAATCCCTATTGAAGTATGGTGACCTGTACAGGCATGCATTTAAACAATGTATTATTATTATTATTTGATGTTTTGCTTCCAAGCAGCACTAAGTCTGTAGCTATCCGAACGGTTACAATTATTATTTTTCTCTCAATTTCGATAGATTCTCTAATTCGTCTTGGCCAGTAGTAACTAGTTTTGCACGGAACTTTAACATTATCAACATCAATTGAGTGTCCTTGTTGGCATACGTCTTCTGCCACTGCCGACAGTTGTATTTCAGAGTATTCAATATTTCTTTGGTGTTCTTTTAGTCTCGTGCTGATCATTCGTCCTGTTTTCCCAACATAGCATTTGCTACAAGTGTAATTAATCCGGTACACACCTTCTGTTGATAGCTTTGATAATTAATATTTTGTAGCAGATATTAATTTCTGTATTTTATGTACTGTGCCAAATCTGACTCGGATGTTTTGTTTTTCCAAACATCTGGCCAGTTTATCAGTTACTTCTTCATCTGGTCCAACACCAGTGGAGACTAGGCTCTAAGAAAAGCCGTCTCGGGTGTGGACCAATCAAATTCAAGGACAGTGCATATTATTATCAGAGTTGTCTCTTTTGTTTGCATTTTGACTGCTTGTGTTGTGGTTATTGCAAACATGATGCCTTGAATAAAGGTGTCAGTTTTTGTGCCAGTTAAAAGGGTAAATCCTATTACTATATCCTGTTACTGGCAAAGGAGGTCTCATAATGTAAATCTTTCCAGTGATTGCTCAATTTGAAACCATCCTCTCGGTTGAAGTTGTGTTTGTGTTTGTAAATCTGGATGGCCTCGTGTCAGTCAAATGCAAAGCTAACCTGATCTCGAAAATTCAACCACCTATCAAAGAATAACCCAGGACCACATATCACAAAACTAGACGTTAACAAAATCGTTGTTAATCAGAGTAGCACCCCGATTTCGGACAATCTGAAAACAGTACTGGCTAAAGGACTAAATTTCGCTGTCACCCCAAAACATATAACAGTAGAGGATATCATCTCTCAGGTCGATGTAGCCCTCAAAAGCATAGTACACATCCAAGCGGATGTTGCGAGAGCTGAAATAGCCACTATTCTTAAGAATGCTAAGAAACCCATTAGCAACATTAGCAAAAATTAACGCTCTGAATTTAAAAAAGAGAGATGATATAGTCATCCTCTCGGCTGACAAAGGCAATGCCACTGTAATTATGGATAAAAATTCATACAACAACAAAATCCAAGACCTACTCAATGATGGGAGTTACTAAAAAAAAAATGACCCTACTAACAGCCTAACGATGAAAACCAACAAGATCATCACAAGTTCAACTTCCCTAATTGAACCAACCAAACGTCCCTCCCTAAAACCCTCCGCTGCAAGACCTCCCAGATTCTATGGTCTTCCCAAGATCCATAAAGAAGGTACCCCACTACGACCCATCGTGTCCACTATCAACTCACCTACATACAAGCTGGCCCGTTTTCTGTCAGATACTCTGCTTCCCTTCACTGGCAAGACCAGCTCAGCAGTACTTAACTCAACCCAATTGGTCTCTATGGTTAAGGACATTGTACTGTCTCCTGACGATATCCTCGTCAGCTTTGATGTGGTCTCTCTGTTCACCAAGGTCTCAGTACCTGATACCATCACAATAATCGAAGATTTGGTCAAACATGGACTTGACCCTGATGTACCGGCGTTGGTTAAGCACTGCCTCACCAACACCTACTTTACTTGGAATGGCACCTTCTACAAACAAAATGAGGGTACCCCCATGGGTTCCCCCTTATCACCAGTGATAGCCAATGTTTTCATGGAGAAATCTGAATCAGATGCCATCCAGACATCCACTCTCAGCCCTTCCCTGTGGAAAAGATATGTGGATGACACTTTCGTCATTTGGCCACATGGCCTCTCAGCTTTGAACCTTTTCCTAGACCACATCAATTCCAGACACCCTCCCATCAAATTCACCATGGAAATGGAGAAAGATGGCAAGCTACCATTCTTGGATGTCCTGTTTGAGAGAAGGCCTGATGGCTTTTTAGGACATTCTGTTTACAGGAAGCCCACCCATACAGACTCCTACTTAAAACCTGATTCCCACCACCACCCGACTCAGAATAATTCTCTCATCAAAACGTTAATCCATAGGGCTCATTGCATTTCTGACAAACACCACCTGACCAGTGAATTAAAACATGTACATCTGGCCCTCAAGATGAACGGTTATTCTGACCGTACCATCCGCCAAGCTGTTTCTCCCACCATACAGAAACAACCACTTGACACTCCAATCAAAATCATCACGTTACCATACATAGCAGGCGTTACTAAAAAGATTTCCAAAATTCTAAACAAACACAAGATCCAGGTCCGGTTCAACACAGTGCACAAAATCCGTGATCTGATCCCGTCAGTAAAGGATGTTATTCCTGACTTACAGTACCCCGGTGTTTACAAATTGAGTTGTAGCTGCGGGGACTGCTATATCGGGGAGACGAAGCGACATATCTCTGACCGAATTCGCGAGCACAAATCAGATTTGAAACACGGCAGAACGAATTCTTCTGCCGTGGCTGATCATTGTCACAACGCTGTGGGTGATCATGATATTGTTTTCTCCGATACCAAGGTGCTCTGCAAACCTACCGGTTATTATCAGAGATTTGTCCACGAGGCCATCCAGATTTACAAACACAGACACAACTTCAACCGAGAGGATGGTTTCAAATTGACCAATCACTGGAAATATGTTATAAATCAAGTCAAACGTTAGCTGCCTTTCAATTTTTTGTACAGCCATTTCCTTTTCTGAGTGATTGTATATCAAACTTTAACTACCTTATAATTGAACAACCGTTTGCCGCCGCTTTCAAAAAATGGAGCTGTACACATGAAGCAGGTCTCTTCCTCCCCCCGACCCCCCATGCAGCATAACAAAAGGTGGGTTTTATCCACTCTCGTGCAGTGCGAAGTGGTTGTTGCCTGCTGCAGTCTATCAAAAGGCTGCTTAACCCAGCCCTCCCACCCAGCCACGCCCCCTTACTGACTCCTCCCCCCCCCCTTAACCTGTATATAATCCCGGTCGTCTATGAACTGTGCTCCTGACACAGATATTCTGCGTTGACTATTCCACCTGAAGACGGAAGCTTGTGTTGCCTCCGAAACGTCGTGATTTAATTGTTTCCTTTTATTTTGTTTTACTTTATCTACGTGACTTTACCGAATAAAACCAAAGAGTATGAATCCTTGCAGTCACGAAAGCTTCAAATCTAGAATTGTGAACCCAGTTTGTGCATCTGATACCCAGGATTTCAGCGACGCCGGCTCACGCGAAAGCCAAGAGTAACCCAAATCCCAGTGAGCACGCCAAGGTTGGGCAAACGTTGGGCCAATTAAATGGTTTTCCAACCACATGATAACGTTGACGCCAACGTTGACCCAACCTTGGCGTGTTTACTGGAATGCGCTTCTCCAGGAACCGCTGATAGGGTTTCTTTTTTACTTATTTCACAACGGCCGAGGGCATTTGACACCTTATTTATCGTGCGTGTTTGCTGTTGTTGTTTGAAACGTATCAATTGCCATTGCTTCTTTGAATGCGAACACGATCTCATTCATTCAATGAATTGCCACGGTTGATCTGGGTCGAGAATTTAATCAATAATCGAGTCTCTTTGTGTCGTGATTTCTCGTTAGTATTGTTCATCGTTTGTTCTCTCTGTCTCTCTCTCTTAAATTAACATATTACTTTCGTTCCTTTTACCCTGAACCTCAGGGTAAACCATTTTTCAATCGACTTGAAATAAATCGTAGCAATCAAATTGTCACGCACAGCAGGGCAATCGATTATAATCGAATCGATTTTCTCGCCACGCAACGACACACAATCGCGACGACGTCATCGGCGTACCTGGACCTCTCCACTTCACCATCCCGTTACATGACGTCAGAGGCGTCGCGCGCATCGCAACTACCGCGCGGCGACGACGTCATCGCCACACCCCTCTCTCTATGGTGACGTCACCGCGACGTTCCGGAACGCTCGTCCAACGCTCGTGACGTCAAAAAACTTGTTTAACGGCTCTCGCGACCGGAGCGGCGTTCCGACGTCACCGCAGCGGGGTTTGTTTGTCAATAGGTGCGGGTGACGTCACGCCGGGCCACTTGGTGCGCCGTCGCCGCCCGAAGCCGCCGCCGGCTGAACCGGCGACCCCACGAGCAGAGAGAGAGAGAGAGGCATTTGGGCAGCCGGGACCACCTGGGCTGAGCAGGGCAATCGCGGGGAGACAACCAGGGAGGAGACCCCGTGGAGGGGAGGAGGCGAGGGGGGTGGAAGAGTGCAGGCAGCGAGCAGGAGAGAGGGCCGTGGACAGCAGGGATGGCGGGGCAATTAATGATTGGAGTGGCCGGGCTGAGCTGCGTGTAATAAAAGTGGGGTGGGTGGGCTTATGTAACGCAGAGCCAGCAGCGAGGAGGGGGATAGGTGAGTAAGGTGGGTGGTTTGTGGTGAGGTGACGAGGTGGGCTGGTTTATTTCTGCACGATTACTACGATGGTGATAGCGACGACTGTGAGGAGGAGCAGAAGAAGAAGCGACGCATCACCGCTGGTGTCGCGTCGTGGCCACCAACAGCACCACGACGACGCTTGACTTGTCATTGCGAGGTGTTTGGGTTGGTGGTGTCCGCGTGCAGGCTGGGCTCCTCTGAAATCGACAGCCGCGATGTTTGGGGTGGGTGAGCGCCCACGGTAGCGGCGTTGGTCAACCACAACAACAGTTTCAATCACCACAACAATTGCAGCAGCTACAATCAGCAGCACAACCACGACCCACAGCAGAAGGAAGCATCAAGCGCAGCAGTAGAGCAAGACTGATTTTTTTTGTCCAGGTGAGCGACGCATGTTTGGTGCCACTTGAGTGTCACCTTCATTTATGTGGTCTGTGACATTTCCAGTGCTCTGGGTTGTGGCATCATAGTTGCCACTGCCCTGTGTTATCTTCATTATCATTTTGGCACATTCACTACCATGGCTTGTGACATTTTCATTGTACTGGAATGGCTTGTGAAATTTACATTGCTCCGGATTGTGGAATATTTCATTGTCCAGTGGCTTGTGGTACCTTCTTTGCAATGGACTATACAGTGAGGGAAAAAAACGTATTTGATCCCCTGCTGATTTTGTACGTTTGCCCACTGACAAAGAAATGATTAGTCTATAATTTTAATGGTAGGTTTATTTGAACAATGAGAGACAGAATAACAACAAAAATCTAGAAAAACGCATGTCAAAAATGTTATAAATTGATTTGCATTTTAATGAGGGAAATAAGTATTTGACCCCCTCTTAATCAGAACGATTTCTGGCTCCCAAGTGGCTTTTATACAGGTAACGACCTGAGATTAGGAGCACACTCTTAAAGGGAGTGCTCCTAATCTCAGCTTGTTACCTATATAAAAGACACCTGTCCACAGAAGCAATCAATCAATAAATCAGAATCCAAACTCTCCACCATGGCTAAGACCAAAGAGCTATCCAAGGATGTCAGGGACAAGATTGTAGACCTACACAAGGCTGGAATGGGCTACAAGACCATTGCCAAGCAGCTTGCTGAGAAGGTGACAACAGTTGGTACGATTATTCACAAATGGAAAAAAAACACGAAAGAACTGTCAATCTCCCTCGGCCTGGGGCTCCATGCAAGATCTCATCTCGTGGAGTTGCAATGATCATGAAAATGGTGAGGAATCAGCCCAGAACTACACGGGAGGATCTTGTCAATGATCTCAAGGCAGCTGGGACTATAGTCACCAAGAAAACAATTGGTAACACTACGCCGTGAAGGACTGAAATCCTGCAGCGCCCGCAAGGACCCCCTGCTCAAGAAAGCACATACATGCCCGTCTGAAGTTTGCCAGTGAACATCTGAATGATTCAGAGGACAACTGGGTGAAAGTGTTGTGGTCAGATGAGACCAAAATAGAGCTCTTTGGCATCAACTCAACTTGCCGTGTTTGGAGGAGGAATGCTGCCTATGACCCCAAGAACACCATCCCCACCGTCAAACATGGAGGTGGAAACATTATGCTTTCGGGGTGTTTTTCTGCTAAGGGGACAGGACAACTTCACCGCATCAAAGGGACGATGGACGGGGCCATGTACCGTCAAATCTTGGGTGAGAACCTCCTTCCCTCAGCCAGGGCATTGAAAATGGGTCGTGGATGGGTATTCCAGCATGACAATGACCCAAAACACACGGCCAAGGCAACAAAGGAGTGGCTCAAGAAGAAGCACATTAAGGTCCTAGAGTGGCCTAGCCAGTCTCCAGACCTTAATCTCATAGACAATCTGTGGAGGGAGCTGAAGGTTCGAGTTGCCAAACGTCAGCCTCGAAACTTTAATGACTTGGAGAAGATCTGCAAAGAGGAGTGGGACAAAATCCCTCCTGAGATGTGTGCAAACTTGGTGGCCAACTACAAGAAACGTCTGACCTCTGTGATTGCCAACAAGGGTATTGTCACCAAGTACTAAGTCATGTTTTGCAGAGGGGTCAAATACTTATTTCCCTCATTAAAATGCAAATCAATTTATAAAATTTTTGACATGCGTTTTTCTGGATTTTTGTTATTCTGTCTCACTGTTCAAATAAACCTACCATTAAAATTATAGACTGATCATTTCTTTGTCAGTGGGCAAATGTACGAAATCAGCAGGGGATCAAATACTTTTTTCCCTCACTATTTTTTGCATTGCCATTAGAATTTAAATTTCATTTACAGCACCTACATTACAGTGGGTTTTTATATTTTCTCCTGTGACAATACACCCCAACTCGTCATATCTCGAAAGCTAAGAAGAGATGAGACTGTATAGTGCTTGGATGGTGGACCACTATGTACAACTCAGGTGTTAGAGGCTGCGGCGTGGGTACACGTTGAACAGCAGAAGGGGGAGTGTAGCAAAATCAATTGCACTTTTCTCTAATGCCTTTAAAGTACAGTACTATCCCTGTCTTCACAAACTGCGCTGAGCAGCATGGTGAAGTATGGTCAGTTAATATGTGCACATGTGTACGTAACATTTTTATTGCTATGACTTGTTAAATTCAGGTGTCAGCACTGCTGGTGGAACCTTAATTGCAATGGGTTATGGCTCTTCAGTGCTATTTCAGTACGTCATTGCAACAATTTTTGCTACGTACAGTGGCGTGGGCCATATTTTGACCTGCCACCAATATTTACATGGCCTCTTTCATCTCCATTATGGCTCCTTCATTAACATTGGTTGTGGCCGCTTGTGGCATCTGCATTGTCATGGATTGTGACATGTCCAGTGCTGTGAATTGTGGCTGCATGTTTTCTTCAAATTGTTGGTTTTGTTGAACCTTTTGTGCCATTGCAAATATATTTTGCACGCATGGTTGATTGCTGCATGTCAAGCTGAGGTTTGACATTTTTTAATAGCTTATTCATTACAGTTAGGTTTGCTTTTTCCTAGCTGGTGGTCAAGGCTTGGATGTGTTGATTGCATTTACAAGATGGAAATCGCGTCTGTGTAGAGGTCTTGTATTCGGTTAGGATGTTTTGTTCTGATTTTAAAGTTTAAAAAATCTACCCCGAAAATGTGCATCTCTGTTAAGTTACACTGGATGAGGCCCTCACTGATAATTTATACGTGTAATTTCAAATATGCAGCGCTGTGTGTATCACAGCTCATCAGTTGTATTTTATATCCTTTGGCTGTGAAAGTGCTGTGTACTTAATCTTAGTTCTTTCGGTAAAGTCACGTTGAAGGGAAACAATACAATAATAAAATATATACAAAACAATAAAAATTCTCACGACGTTTCGACCATAACACAAACGGTCGTCATCAGGTGTGTCGGTGATAGATAAATACTTATTTATCTATCACCTTCCATCACCTGCGCATAAATCTGATTGCAGAAAATAAAATGCATTCAGTGTTAATGTGAGGAAATGCCATAATTGATGTGCGTAATACATGGATGGGGATTTTAGACCTTACCGGTCAAACACAGTCTTCCCGTGGCACTAATATAAAAAAAACATGCATGCATGCATGCAAGTTAAAATTTACAGGTGAATAGTAAAGATTGGTTGTGAAATTGTGCGTGGCCCACACGACCTGGAGTTCAGCACTGGCTGCAGAGATACAAAAGGTTAATTCACATTTTCTGTGCATTGGATGCATTTCCAGATGATGAAGCATAACCGTTGTTGCTGGAGGCCGTATATTTCAACACTTATTATTCAGCTTTATCGACTTGCACATTACATAGTAACAATTATGCTGAGTTATTATCAAGATGCAATACACACGTACTGCAGGCTTAATATTGCACGGAACCTGGTCTTGGTTGAGTCTGGGCTACAATGGAAATACCCCACCTTATGAACTGTTGCATTCTGTGCTACACGGTTTAGAATTTGCTTACCAAAAATGTATTTGCATTTCTGAACCAGAGTGCCACAGTCATTGGTGTTTTTTTCCCTTCTTACTCTACTGTAAAGGGAAAAAATGCTGGAAATTCTGCGCAGTGGAAAAGTTACTGAAAAAGCATTGTCATTGGAAGGATGCTGCCTGATTGAATTGTTAAAATAGCTCCCATTGACTATAATTTGGTTTCCAAAAAATAAATATTCAGCCATGCAGACGCTGCCTATGGGCTCTAGCGTATTGCTTTTTGTGAAATCTCTTGTCTTCTGGGCTGGAGCCAGCGCTGGGAGGTTGCTGTGATGTTTTTTTATCTTAAAATGTACAAACATGCGAGAAATGATGTTAGACGTCGCAAGCGCTGGCAGCTGAAGTGGCTAATTGATCTTTATTTACAGCTTTCCGTACTAGGCTTAATGAATGGCTTGCCCACACATCCCCATTGGATTATAGGGGCAAACTAAACAAAAATAGAAATGGTGGGAAGTCCTGTGTCCATTTACAAGAATTGCTACTTCTGAGTACCGTACTTCACCAAACTATACACATCCGCCTGCCAACAACTACCACCATGATGGCGCAGAGTACAACACAGCCACCC